CTTTTCTCCAGGGTTATGCAAATGTCTTAAAACATTTTCTAACCTCTTGCTCAAATGTTAGCACGTCTTTAAATCCTAACCTTTAAAAAATCCCCTTAAGACATTATTAAGCCTGTGGTCATCATTAAATTTACTCACACATATACCTCCACTGGCTTTGTTTCTAACCATTCCACGCTCTGCCCCTCTACTTTTCAGAACTTCTTCCTTGGGGTCACTTTCTTTTTCTTACTGAGGATTTCCTGTAGTGACAGATTGGTAAAATTAGGTTTTGCTTATCTGAAAATTTCATTAGCTTTCCATCATATGTTATAAATTCATAAAAACAAAACTGGCATTTAATTTAATAAGTGAATAATTCAATAACTGATATTGGGGTAGTGATTTCCTAAAAATTTTTTTTCCTGCTTTAAACTATGGGAAAAGAAAATCCTTATACATTAAATATCTACAATGGAAGAAAATCCAAAGCTCTGAGATCAGAGATATAGGAAATTTATTTATGGATAATCTTGAGAAAGATTTCTTAAACTGACACAAAAATTGTAAACTACAAAAAAAAGATTGTTAAATTTCACTTAAAGAAAATTATAAATTCATACATCTATATGAGTTAAAAATGAATGATACACTGGAAGACATATTTGTAAAATATATAACAAGGAGTAAGTACCTTTATATAGAAATACAACACCAAGAAGAAAAAGTCCTATGAACTGTTGAGTGAAGGGCACACGCTGATAACAAAAGTAGATCAATAAATAGATTTCCATGTAATTGTATAAGGAAAGTGTAACTTCTTTATTTGACATAATTGACTTCATCTTCCTTAGGAAGCTCTGCCTCACTGGTATGAGGAATTTGGGGGTGACAGTGGGAAAATGGCCGCTATAAACTTTCCACAGAAGTGAATCCTTGACTGGTTTGGATCTAATTACTTCTCTGTCAGGTAACACAGGGACTTTCAGTAAATGTTCTGTGTGTGAATTCCTTCCTTTCTCTCCTCTTACATCTCCCCAAGATGGTGGCTGGATATGTGGGCAGTGAGGGGGGTGGGTGGGCAGGAGAGTAGAAAGTCTTTTTTGATCTGAGTATCATCATCCTCTTTGTCTTTTCCAGATTCTTAAGCAGAAAGTAAGGTAAAACGTCTCTTTCTTTGAACTTGTCATCAAGTAATGCTAAGGATTTTTGAGCCATAGAACTTGGAAATTATGATATACAGGAGTGTTGACTGTGTGTTTGTCTCTTTTCTACGTTTTACTTTTAGGAAGAGTAGTCCTTTTATTTTTCATTCTTTTTCAGTTAGAATTCTTTATTTCTTTGTTCTAAGTGATTTCTTCTTCTTCTTCTTCTTCTTCTTCTTCTTCTTCTTCTTCTTCTTCTTCCTCCTCCTCCTCCTCCTCCTCCTCCTCCTCCTCCTCCTCCTCCTCCTTTTTTTTTTTAATTAAGACAGGTGCTCCATGTGCACTTCAGGCTGTCCTTGAATAAGCTATGCAACCCAGGCTGGCTTTGAACTTTCTGGCATCCTCCTGCCTCAGCTTCCCAATTGCTAGGATTATATGCATGTGACAATGGTTTATTTCCAAAAATGTTAGTAGAACATGTTTGTAGCATATAATGATTATATTCATTATGGGGAGTTTGTATATGTATGTAACACATCTAAATGCTCTTTATGTCCCTTACCCCACATCCTGAACAGCTCTTGATGTTCCCAGGGTGAGGATGGAGAAAAAGGACAAGAGTCAGAATACAGAAAATGGAGGATGTGTGGAGCCCTCTTTCCTCATGGGAAGGAAGGAAGAAAGGGAAGGAGAGGAGGGAGGATGGAGAGAAAGGGGCAGGAGAGCTCCAATGGGTGTGGCACACTGCTTTATACAGTTGGGAGACTGAGTCACGTGAAACCTCTCCACCTAAGCATTTACCCACATGGCTTGTCTCAAGCACAGTGTTCTTGAGATTAGAGCAGGTTATCTGTGTGACTTGCCTCAGGTGCTCTCTGTTCTTGAGACTAGCCTTGCTCCAGCCTGCATGTGACCCAACTTCAGCTTCAGTCGATTACCACACATACCTCCAAAATTGACTTTTGATATTTAAATGTTGTTTAGAAATTAAGATGTAGTTTTTCTTCGTGGAGAAAATTTGATTCTATTTGCCTATTAATGGAGTAAAACACTAATTCTCATGCCTCTACTTTGCTGCTAAGCTGAAAGGGAACTTCTTTAATCCACCTTATATCCATCCTTCCCACTGAAAATGGAAAGCCATGTGAGGTGATGTGTGACAAATGAGAATAGGATTTATGATGTATGAAAGTATATAAATTATTTTAAAAGGTACTCTCAAAACACATGAAAAATTGCATTACATTACTGGTAATTAGGGAACTACAAAATTTAAAAATAAGATACTATTGGAAAACAGTTTAAAATACAGTGACAAAAGACTGAGAGACTGTCTCAAATGTTGAAATCACTCTAGAGAACTATTTGACAGTAGTGAAACTGTATTGCGGGTATTAACTCACCAATCAACACAACTAAGTATTTACTAAAATGATATTCACCAACTTCACATCCTGGTGGGAATCCCCTCTGAGCAGCAAAAGAATCAGGATTAAAGGATATGATATTGTATGTGATAATTTTTTCTTTTACATTTAAACACATTGAGGCAAAAGTACCAAGAAACCACTGCTGATTCTAGGCAGAGGCCTCATGAATGTTGAACATGAAAAATTCTCAAAAATAAACGATACCAATGTTTCTGCTATGAAGTGGAGTGTCCTGGTGAGTAGCTACACATTTTGACACCCTGAGGGGAAAGCAATAAAGTCCAAATACCCCTGAAATTCAAGAATTCCCATGATTATAAAAATACAGCAAAACGCATACTGTGTAATCTAGTTTGGAATGAAATGATGCCACAGCTTTTTCCATTCCTTCCCATCAGTAAATACTTCTTTCACTAAACTTTTAGCCTATATTTATTTTATTTTTTGGAGGGGGGGAGTGAGGAGGAGGAGTACCAGGAAACAAATTCAGGTTGCCAGGCAGGTACTGCACTACAGAGCTAAATCCCCAGCTCCTAGCCTAATTTTAAAAACATTTCCAAGAAGTCTGTACTACAATTGTGCATTATTTGTTTATTTACTTAATATACATTTAGCTTGATTAAATAGGTCTAGGAAAAGATGTTAAAGAAAGTGAATATTAGAAGAAGAACAAAAAGGAGATGGAGAAGGAGAAGGAGAAGAAGGAGAAGGAGAAGGAGAAAACTGGTTGTGGTCCTGCCTAAAATACCAAATCTCTGAGAAGCTGAGGCTCAAGGAACTCAACTTGAACATACTGAGCAAGATCCTGAATCGAAAATAAAATAATTTAAAAAGGGCTGGAAATCTAAGCATATAGAAAGGCCCTGGGTTCAGGCTCTAGTAGAGAAAGATATTTCACAAAAACACGGGGAGGAAATACACAGTAGTTAGCTGAAAGTGACAGAAGTCCAGGAGTTTGAGTAGGGGAAGAAATGATCTTGTGTGTAACCACATAATTCTACTTCTCATGGGTCCCCTTGCTGACTTTCTGTGTGTTTCCCAGTGGCTCAGAGCAGTCATGTATCTATCCTACTGACACACAGATCATTCAAATGTGAAAATTAATTGAATTGACTTATGAAGTGCAATGACATCAAGAACTTGGTTGTCTTTGCAACTGCCTGAAAACCACGCTAGGCAAAACTTGGAAACTCAATAACTTTTTTCATGATGAGGAGGGGGAAAATACACTTCTTCAATGGCATAGGCATTGTCTATCAAGCGTGGACACCTGAGCTCATAGTCAATGAAACTTTGAGAAGCTTCCTGACCAAACCTGAGGCGGGAATGTACCATCTACCATGAGATTCAGGAAAATGTGCACAAATTAAGGAAAGAGAAGTTCTTAGATGCTTGTTGAAAGACAATATGACCTTTTGAACAGCTAGCATTGTCCTTATTGACTAGGCCAAACATGTGCAGATACATCATCTGTCCGTACACACAAAGGTTCAGTAATCTGGGTAGCTGGCAGATGCACACACTAAGCCAAAGACTTCTATGCACCAGTATGGATGCACTAAATAAATGTGAGGTTTTGGAAGTATCAAAATCCAAATCTTAGAATTATGAAATTTTGCAGCAACAGAGAACTGAATTTATTTATTTATTTATTTATCGTTTTGAGACAGGGTCTCGCTCAGCCTTGAGCTCACTTTGTAGCCCAGGTTGGTCTGGAACTTGCAACAATCCTGCCTCAGCCTCCAGAATGCTGGGATTACAGGTGGCTCCCTCCCTGCCTCCGCCCCCGCCCCCCCCCGCCCCTCCGTCCTCCCTGTCCCCCACCCACCCTCCGACGCCCTCCCGCCCCCGCCCCCGACACCCCCCCCCCGCCCCTGACCCCCCCCCTCCTTCCCCGCCGCAGTGTCAGGGAATTGTATTTAAACATATACCAGAGGGAAGGAATGCTAAAGGATTGGTTTATTTGAGAAAGAGAGGAAAGGAAAAACCACAAAGCAAGCAGGATAAATAGTTATGTGCTAACCTAATCTTTGAAGAAAAATCTCAAACCCAAACCAGTAGGGTGCAGGCAGTACAACTGTGTGTGGGATATCTGAAAGATAACTGGAGCCTTCAGGAGGAAAACGCCCACAGTGAGAAGGTTGTCCACACACTCGCTAAGGTTGGAGCCCACCCCCCACAATGAAGGATATTTAGTAACTACTAGGGGGACAAAACAGGAGCGGGGGTGGGGTGGGGTGGGGTGGGGTGGGCTGGAGGGATGTTGAAGGAAAGCCCCAGAGTTGAGGTCCGAGACTGATTTCCAATCTACGTCTCCCAAACATTGAAAACAACAGTCAGTTCCGCTTCGTGTAGGTTAGTAGGTTTGTGCGGTGCACACGTCCACGATGGCCAGAAGAGCCTGCCTGGGATCTCCAGTGGGTTGGCGGACATCTAGGGAGGGCGCTCATGTCTGGAAGAGACGTCTCCGGGCCTTGCGATGAGGACCTGGAAGGCCCGCTGGGCGCTGGTGGGGCCAGGGCGTTGCAAAGGGAGGCAGAGGTTGAAGTGGTGAGGTGGGGAAGGACCTCAGCAGATGGAGGTACTCCTGGTCTGGGAAGCCAGGAGAGCCACTTTTGAGCGGATTGATGGGCGCCAGAGGCCTGAGCAGGGGCCCTGCAGGGAAGGCCGCTGGCGAGTCCACATCGGGCGCCGGGAACACGGGGTGCGAGTAGTCACAGGCTTGGACTTCTTCCTGGCGGGCGATGTCTGGGACAGTGGCGCAGAATCCCTGCTGCTCCACGAAGGCGACGACTGGGCTCTCCAAGGCGGGGCCCAGCAAGGCAGGCAGCGCGTCCAGGACTTCAAAGCTCCGCCCTCCGGAGCACTGGTCCCTGGAGCCCAGGAGGTCTTGGGCGATCAGGACGAGGGCGTCGTCTTGGATGGTGACTTGCAGTGCCGCGCCAGGCAGGGGCTCCAGCAGCAGGTGGTATCCGCCTTCAACAGGCAGCTGCAGGACGCACCCCGCGGTCAGGATGAGCCCGGAGGTGGAGGCGGGCGCGGGAGAGTCAGACGAACCCGCGGCGTCTCCCGGGACTGGCACTGCTCTGGTCGCGGATCCAGCGAGCTCCTCCAGGCGGCGTCGCTTGGCAGGGCCGGGTCCCCCGGACTGCAGTGGGGACCCGGGTGCAGGCTGGGCCTCGGGGCTGCGTTGCCGGACGCTCATCACGTCGATGGAGGCGCTGCGCTGGGGCTACAGGCGTGGGTCACCGGCGCCCGGGGCGAGGGCGGCTGGGCCCCGTGCGCGCCCTGACTGATCAGACTGGACCGGACCGGACCGGGGGCTGCGTGTCCCGCGGGTGGAGGTGACAGGTGGTGCTGTTCTGGCGGTCCGGTGGTCCGCAGTACTGGTTTCTGGGAAAGCAGTTCTCCTGACTTCTTGGAGACCTTCTTGGGGCCGCCGGGCCCGCCTGGCGCCTGGGAGTCCTGGGGCTCCTGACGCTGGTCCGAGAGCACCGGGAGGTGGCTGCAGATTGTTCTCCGGATCGCTCCCAGCGGTGTCGGGAAGGCAAAGTCTCCTGAAAGGGTCCGCGCCGCGTGGGCGCCGCTCTAGTGGCCGGATCTGGTAGTCACGCCCAGCAGGTGGCCGGTGGGTCCGTGAGGAAGGCTGAAGGATCCAACGCAGAAGCTGAAGGGTCTGCGCTGGAAGCCAGGAGACGACGTCTAGCTCACGACGAAGACTGGAGCTGCTCTGAAAGATGAAATCCCGGCCATCCTGCCTCCTTATGCCTCCTTTTATACCAGCCAGGCGATGAGCCGCCCTAGGGTGGGTCTTCTACACCCTAAAGTGCAGATTTGCTACATTGTTCTAATTAAGCTTCTAAACTTCTCAAGTCAGTCAACCACTACAACACTCGAGGTCATGTCTCAGTGAAAACTTGAAAATCATCCTGGCAAACCTCCGTCAGGAATGTATCCTTTAATTTACCCAACGCTGCCATTTAAGGAAAGAGAAATTCGAAGTTGTTTGTGGAGACGTTATGTGTGCATTTTAAACCACTAGTATTGTCTTTATCAGTGAATCGAACCATACAGTGATACAACATCGTATCAAATGAAAAAATTGTTTAGATACCAAATCCAACATTCCAAACTTATCCTATACACCAGTGTGGCTACACAACATAAAAGTGAGGTTTGCAAATAAAATACCTTGAAAGCTTAGAATTGTGCAGTGTTTTAGAACCATAGAATTGCATTAAAGCATACATGAGGGAAGGAATGCAAAAGGGATGATTCATTTGGCAAAAAAATAGCAACGTGTCAAAATATTAATAGTCATTTTGTTTTTTCCTTCACCTTCTACTTTGGTGGTGAGCAGGATTATGTACGTATGGAATGTTCCAGGCAGCTCTGTATGTTAGGCCCACACCTCAGTGTATGGTAGGAAGTCCCTGGGCTGCAAGGTTGCATACTCATGATATCGAAGGTGCTGTTGGAGCACTCAGTCTGGTGTGGGGACCATGGTGTCTGTAGTCCTGGGTGCAATGTCAGAGAGCTCAGTGTCCTCTGGTAGGTGACACGTGAGAGTATCTTGTTACTTGGATGAGCCGCAGTGTTGGCTTGCCTGAGATAAGCATCTCAACTGTGCCTGGTCCCCTTCTTGGAATCTTGTGTCTTCCCTGGCCAAGCTGGATAAGCACATAATTCTGACAGTGTTGTGAGTCAAACTGGGAAAGGAAGTATCAAAATGTCCTGCTTTGCTCCTCCCTCACTTGAGAGGTGGGTATTGGTGCCAATGGCATTGGCTGTGTTTGTTTGTACACTGTGGGTAAACACTTGTATTTGTCTTTAAGGTTACTGCATCTCCCTTTCTTAGAATATGAATATTATGTCAGTAATTTAATTGGACTCTCGGCCTCTTAGGATTTGTGATGGATGCTTGGTTGTCTGAATCATGGGATTATTTAGATAGTCACCCAAAATCAACCTAATTCCAGAATGTGCTGCACTTACACTGTGGCCTGCAAGGGACTGGATCAATTCAGTGCCATAGCCAGAACAATTTTAAAACCAGTCTTCAGAAGTATAAGTTTTGAAGGATGCCCCATGGTCTTTATCGCTTTCTTTCTTGGTTAAAACAAAGTCAACAGAGAGCTCATAAAATACTTTCTTCTACTTAGAAGTAGCCTGTGTTCAATATCTTTTCTAGTTGTCCCAAGAAGGCTATGAAAAAGAGCTTTATCTTCTTACTCCACACTGTTTTGCATCAACTTATGTGGTGTAGACACCACTTTTATTCATGAGAGAAATTAGAAATTCAAATTTTGCTCTCTTGTAGAAGAGCTTTTAAAAGTAACAAAATGTAGCACTTTGAAAAGTGAAGGTAAGAGAATCACAAATTTGATGACTCCCTGGGCAATTTAGTGTCATGATGAAAACTTTTCTGTGACTAAAAGAAAAAAACCTCAATATGAAAGCCATAGGATCATTGTCAGACACACATACGTGCAAGTGTGTGCACGCACACACACACTCACACACACACACACACACACACACACACACACACGCATGCAAAGTGATTTTTAGTTTTTCCTTGGAGGCTTGCCTGTGGTTACTAAAATCAAGTCCATAAAGAAATTAGTGTTAGATTTTTTTTTGTTGTATTCCATCTTCATATTTGTCTTGAATTTTATTGAGTGTCTGTGACTACCACCACACATGGTTTAGAGAATGGAAGAAAATTTTAAACATTTAAATCCTTTTTGCATTGGATATGGGAATTAAATACAGACATGCTTATGTGAACAGAGGGTAAGTGTTCTTCGTGCCTTATCCTAACTTGCAGTTAGTGAGGTTAAATTTCTCAGTGTCAAAAAGTACCACATTTTTTCCCTAATGTTCTTGCTAACTCACGATGTTGACTATGTTTCCACACAGTATAGCTGCTTGTGTAGTATTTTTTGTGTAATACCTATTTTACTTTTGCCCATATATTTTGGAGTTGAGTTTTAAAACTTCCTTACCATTTATGTGTATGGAAATGGCCCTTTCTCAATTTGAGGAGTTTTTATTCATATTTTTTATAATATATTTTGAGAAACAGATATGCTTAATGTTAAAATAGCTTCAGATTAATCAGTTTTGGTCTTTATTGCTTTGTTCTTTACACTCTCTATTCTAGAGTCATTTCTATACCATCTCAGTATTTAAATCTTTACCTCTCAAAATTTAAATCTTATTTTCCAGATGTAATAAATCACTTTACATTATGAGGCAGATCAAATTTTTTGCACATGTACACAACTTGTTACTAAAGACTTCATGTTTTCCCGTAGTACTGCATCATTTCCTGTGTCATGTAAGTTTTTTTTTTTGGTATGGATTTCTTAATCTTTATTTTCATTTGTATGCACTCATTTGTGCAGTTAGGGAGAATTTATGCAATTCATAATTTAGCATAACTATAAGCACACATTTGATATATCAAATTAATACAGAATACTAATTTAATTAATGTATTTTCATTAGTTTTTATTACGAATGTTCTATGCTAACTTAAAAGATTTTGTTCTTAATTATCAGTAATATAATTATTTTGGGTACAATATAGTGTTCAATAGATGCATACATTGTGGAATAATACAATAACCCATATGATTATCATATTTTTAGGTGAAGAGAACATTTAAAATCCTTTAGTAGCTGGGTGTGGTGGTGCATGTCTCTAATCCCAGCACTTGGGAAGCTGTGGCAGAAGGATTGCTGTGAGTTCAAGGACAATTTGGGCTATGAAGTGAGTCAAGGCCAGCCTGTATTGCATATTTTTTCTGTATCAAAAAAGATTAAAAAAAATCCTTTAGCAATTTGAAGTACACATGATTATAATTCTTGTGCTCTGTAACTGATACCCAAAAGTTATTCTCCTTAATTGAAACGTTGTTGCCCCCTTTGGACAAACGTCTCTCCATTTACTATTACCCCTTTTACTAATGTTACACTCTGCTTCTGTGAATTTGGCTTCTTAAGAATTCACATATTCAATTGAAAACATTGCTTTGTGTGTGTGTGTGTGTGTGTGTGCCACTGAGCATGGGTGGCCCCCAGTGAGGACTTCTTGGGGAGCAATGTGTGCCTTTGGGCAAGGTGTAGTGCCTTGGATTCTTGGGTGTTCCTCACTGGAAGCAGGGTGCCCTCTGGTCATTCAGTTGTATTGCAAGTGATGCTGGGAACTGAAGTCGCAGGGTGTTGGGCAAGGCTCCACCCCTATGTGCCTGCTCTCCAGGTGCTTTCCAGTAACTGCGGCTATAGTTGGGAGGTCACTGGGGAAGTAGATTTATGAGCCTTAGAGGGTGGAATGATAGGTGTAACTTTTTCATAGAAAAAGAATATTAGGCATATAAGAGAATTTCAACGATGCCTCATCTTTTTTTAAATTTATTTTTTATTTTTATTTTAAAGGGGGTAAAATTAAACACAACAAAACAGAACAAAATAGTACATAAGAAAGCAATGTAAGAGATATAAATTTCAAAGCTAGACCATCTGAGATCTTTACTATCTATCATATTGTCTCTTGTTTACTTCCAAATAGTTGTCCATGTCTTCGTGTACAGAAAATTCATACAAAACAACATAGTATAAAAGTGACTCGAACTAAATGAGGAAGGTGTTTTAGGTCTTCAAAACCAGACAATAGGGAAGTCACTGATTACTGTTGTAGAGTCTCTCGTTCTCTTCAAAATAGCTGTCCATACTTTCATGTACAATTGAAGTTCAACAAAACAAAACAGGCATGGGGGAGGAGTTGCTTGGTTTCCCAGTGCTCCAGGTCCCAGCATAGCATGGGTCCCAGTACATGCTGGAGGCTCCCGTCCTGGGCAGCCACAGCCTGCCACACTCACAGCCGCTCATGGAGGGGAGGGGTTGTTTCAAGCTGTTTCTGTCTAATGAATTGACCATTTCACTGCTCAAGTTCTGAAATGGCCAACAGACCATAGAAAGACATCTCTTTAGGTTCCTGCTTGAAATCAACAGCGTCAGGAAGCTCCTGGACTTGATTCAGGGCAAGAGATGCCTCATCTTTAGAAGTGATATTTTCTTGTGATTTTAAGGATTTTTGAAAAAAATACCACCAAAAAAGCTCTCCACCCCCTTTTGAAATACTAGTGTTTTCTGAACGCTACATGAACATCCTTTAATATTTGGCAAATAGTTTTGTTT